TTCCTTTATGTTTATGGTATAAGAAGACTAATCAGACCATAGAACACTGGGTATGAGTACTGGCCATTTCCTAACATTATATTCCTTTAATATGTACATTTACTGTAGAAACAGAAAAACTAAGAGCTCTATCTAATGTAGCTTTTGGTGGCAAAAGCATTCTGCATATTAACATTTGGTATGTTTATCAAGCAAAACACGAAAAATGAAGCTATGAGAGACAAGCGAAGAGGGAACACACTATTGTGGAAAGAAAGAGAATGATAACAAAAATAAAATCTAATAACATAACAATAAAAAACAACAATGCCTGCCTGTGGGCCATATCTTGCAGCACTGGTGACCACAGATGGGATATCCATTTGTAGAGGAGCAGGGCCTTTAGAGTAATTAGAAATAGAAGCCGAAATAATTGAAGGAGGCATCGCAGAGACGTGGAAAGGATCATTACAAAGAGGAAGCCGAAGCTGCAAGGAAAATGAAAATAAATGAAAAAAGCAGTTTTAAGTAAAACAGAACCACAGCAAATAAGCCTCCCAAATATGCTTTATTTGGCTTGATGCTTTTGGTAACAACTACTGCATGAGTTAGGTATATTAAAGCAGAAAAAGCCACACACACACAATATCTACACTTCTTTTTAAAACTTGTAAGACTGTGCAACACAAGAAACAACAGGATGTTCTGTATCTATACAATTCCTACAATAAGGAATGTTAGTTAGCCTGTAGCTGCTGCCATAACAGAAACAACCAACAAGAACAGCAGCCTAGAGCCTACCACTTAATCTCACAAAGTTTGACTTTTGCACTAACCAAGCATTTCAGAGCACTGCTATTTAGCTTCAAAGCACATTAGTAAAAGTCATAACAAGTATTTTTACTGGGTAAGCCTCAGGTGATTTCAGAACATGATTGAACCACATAATAACAATTTTCCATTTTTTGTGGATTCAGCCAGCAGAACTCTAGGTTTAGTCAAGAAATTACACAGCTCTTCTACTGAGGAAAACCATCTGAAAAAGCAAAACAAAAATAAAAAGCCCAAACTTCCCGAGTTAAAATTTAATGCACTTAGTTATAAGTGACTTCACAAGTTGAACAGTGTAAACGCTTCACCATCATTTGTGCCAAGCAGTGTCAATAGTTTTGCGTTATCTAGGGAGCTTGTTTTATTACATATTATTTTACTTAAATTATAAAGACAGATTAAAAATGTTAATTTGGTTTTTCTCAACTGCCCTGAGCCTCTTCAGGGAGGGTCACACACATCAAATAAATAAATCTGGAGAGCTAGATATTGTCTATTTGTGCAATTCTACAATAATTCAGTAGATTTGTGCTGGCCTTTACTAAGGCTAGGGAAAGAAGTTACACAAACTGCTATAACTGATCAGAAACCAGTTCAAATCCATAACACAACAGAAGTTCAGTACACATAAGCCACTAACAAAATGGCTGAAACTGGTTTAAGATAAGCCTGGATGAATGTAGTATCAGACCTAACTGATTTAGGTGAAATCAGTTTATTGAACTTCTGTCCCAGATCCCCTCCAGATTCAAGATCACTCAGTCCCCCAACATCCCAGGATGCTTTGCACCTCCCTGCATAGCCCACACTCATAGGGGGCCAAGCCTAGCCTTCCCACAAGCCGTCTGCTCCAGCTGAGCAGGGAGGTGTGCTCTGGTGCTCCCAGGTTCTGACCTGGGCCACTGCAAGAATGTGGCTGCATTTCCAGAATCAAAAGTGAATGTCTTTTCACTTGTTTATCAGGTCAATCTATGCAGCGTCGACTAACCTGAGAAGATTGAATCAATTCAGCCTCAGGCTTTTTGACTGTCTGTACTTAGCCTAAGTGACTTCCTACTTGTGGTTTCTATACCCTCAGCTGAACTACCATACTTTAGTTTGGTTGTTCAAATGATGATTTTTTCTGGGTTTAAAGCAGCCCATAGATGTCTAAAGTGTACACAGATGGAACTACTGTGGAAGAATGAGGCCAAAGACTCGCAAGGAACATCACAGCACCAGATATTGCTTTTATCCACTTTGAGAACACTAATGGATTTCCACTAGAAAATTAGTAATCATCACTGACTAGAGTAACTAGCTGATTCTAAATCTCTATTGTGGGCTATGAACAGGGATCCAGGTTTTCCATTTCCCATGGGAAAAACAAACACTTTGGATTTTACCTTTTACCAGAGCTAAACACGGATTTTTCATTTTACCCCTGGATTTTGCAGTTTTGCAGAAGCTCTCTGCAGGCTGACAGAGTTCCAGCCTGCTGCAGGCTGGGAGGGAGAGAGAGGAGGGCAGTCATGGAGGGGGCGCCATGTGCACGTACATCAGGGGTGGGCAATTATTTCAGGCGGAGGGCCGCTTACTGAGTTTTGGCAAGCCATTGAGGG